TAAATTAGGCTCTTAATCCCATTCAGGAGTTTTGGATACACTGCTGGGCTTAGTGTCACAATAAGGTCCAGTATACTATGAGATCACTTCACTACATTAAATATCTTAGGTGCTTGATCAGTTAATACCATTCCATACCATAACTTCAAAGTAGAAGGTTGAGTAGTGAAGAGAAATGCACAAGTTAAGACCATTGTAACTTGAAAATGGCTCAGTTTGATTTTATATATAGTTTTGCATGCTTACTTTATTGTTTGTAAAGGTAAAGGGACCCCTGACCATTAGGTCCAGTCGTGGCCGACTGGGGTTGCAGCGCTCATCTCGCTTTATTGGCCGAGGGAGCCGGCGTACAGCTTCCGGGTCATGTGGCCAGCATGAAAAAAAGCCGCTTCTGGCAAACCAGAGCATTGCAATGAAACGCTGTTTGCCTTCCCACCGGAGCGGTTCCTATTTATCTACTTGCACCTTGATGTGCTTTTGAACTGCTAGGTTGGCAGGAGCAGCAGGAGCTCACCCCATCACGGGGATTCGAATCACACCTTCTGATCGGCAAGCCCTAGGCTCTGTGGTTTAGACCACAGCGCCACCCAAAGTTACTGTACTGTAAATGTTTGAATGTGTTTTCTGGAATGACTTCTATTGTCTCTTGAACTTGAAACCAGCCACCACCGCACCATTGTCTAAAAACCACCAAGCTAAACCACCATTTACCATTTAATGCACAGTTCAAGAATCACTGTTATCTATCCCCTGCAATCCATCCTAATGCATAGTAAACTATGAAATTTACTTCAATGGGAGTCAGTGATGGCCACCAACTTGGATCACTTAAAAATACAAATTTAATAAATAAAAAAATCAAATTTAAATTATATAAAATTGAAGGGCAATTTTTAAATACAAATTCATGGAGGACAAGGATGGCTATGTTCTGCTTCCACTGGCGTAGGCATTAGGCCTCTGAATACCAGGTGTGGGTAATCTCATGCGGACCAAGTGCTGTTGTGCTCATGCCTTGCTTGTGGGTTATCCCATCAGCATCAGACATCAGACTCCTGAGGGAACAAGATACTGAACTAGATGGGCCAATGGCTTAACCCAGGAGGGCTGTTGTTACGTTCCTGTGCCACTATTGCCATGTTTGCACCACAATTTGTATTTTCCCCACCAACAGACTTTTCCATATGGGAGCTTGAGCACACATGTACAATGAATGATGCAGCCCTAATGGGCGTGGCATGGCATCATTCAGCAATAACAGTAGGCAGTGAGTACCATATACAGACAGTTGGCAATAGGAAGAGAAGCAGCAGACCTTTTCCTAGGCAAATTCTCAGCCTCCGGACTGAAACCCAAATCTGAAACCATAGTCACTCTCAGCCAAAACTACCTCACAATGTGATTATGAGCATAAAATGTGCAAGCAGGAGGAGAATTATGTTCACCACCTTGGGCTCCTTTGAGGAAAAGTGGGATATAAATTCAATTAATGAACAAATCTTGTCAGCATCCCTTCCTGCAATTTCACCCATTTTTCCAAATTACACCAACAATTATTCCGCATGGAAACTATTTTAAGGAAATCCTTTATTTATCTCAAACTCCAAAGGTAATAGTTTTAGGGCACAATTCAGACTAAATTGGGCAGCAGTGGTATCTTAATTGCCAAGTGTTTTGTTTTGTTTAGTTTAGGAATCATTGTGTTATGTATTCAGTGGCCTGTGTTTGCCTGAGCTTGAGTATGAACTAAGGATTCTTAGCCCAATACATATCCAATCACAGAATGTTTCAGGATTTGGGCTATAGCCATTGGCCCTTAACCTCTTTATGATTTGAAGCTTGGGAGTTTAGACACGTTGAGAGGGGGAGTGTCCCAGGCCTTCAGAAAAGTATATAAGCAGCCGCTTTCCCCTAGTTTTCCAGTTCTTTTAGTTCAGTAAAAGTTATTGCTGTTATCACTGTGTCTTGCTTCATAGGAACCCACCTACACTTCACATCATTTCACACAGTATGTTTTAAGAACACTGGAAAGTCACAGTTAAACACTGGGGAATTAACTGATTTAAAATATTTGCACTGTTCCTTTAGAATATTGATACATTTTTTTCCAAAGTCTAACATAATAAATTGAAGAAAGAGTAGGTATAATCACTTATGCCCTGATTATCTGCATTCATTCTATACAGAGGCTGCATGGAAGTTGCCAACATTCTGTTACTATTGGACACCATTGTGGAAGCATGGTGCAAAAGCTAGACACTTTGATTTAATCTGATACCTCATTTGTCTCTCTCAGACCATAGCAAGTGTTCCAAAGCCTGACTTTGCAAACACATATTTTAGTTATGGGACGCGGGTGGCGCTGTGGGTTAAAGCCTCAGCGCCTAGGACTTGCCGATCGAAAGGTTGGCGGTTCGAATCCCCGCGGCAGGGTGCGCTCCCGTCGTTTGGTCCCAGCGCCTGCCAACCTAGCAGTTTGAAAGCACCTTCGGGTGCAAGTAGATAAATAGGGACCGCTTACCAGCGGGAAGGTAAACGGCGTTCCGTGTGCTGCGCTGCCTCGCCAGATGCAGCTTGTCATGCTGGCCACGTGACCCGGAAGTGTCTGTGGACAGCGCTGGCTCCCGGCCTATAGAGTGAGATGAGCGCACAACCCTAGAGTCTGGCAAGACTGGCCCGTACGGGCAGGGGTACCTTTACCTTTTATTTTAGTTATGCTCCTTATTGCTTCATATTAATTGCATGTTATTTGATATAGTCAGTTAAGTGACCCAACTCTTTTTTCCTGGGATTAAAAGACACTTGCATTTTCCAAGAAAGCTCCCTACATTTTCAAGTTAGAATTCAAATGCCAGACCTGTGTGATAAATTGTATGATAAATAATAAATTGAAGAAAGAGTAAGTATAATCACTTATGCCCTGATTATCTGCATTCATTCTATACAGATACTGCATGGAAGTTGCCAACATTCTGTTACTATTGGACACCATTGTGGAAGCATGGTGAAGATGCTGTTCCTCTGAATGCTCTTTCACCTGGGCAGAAGAGGACTTTGCTCCTGGAGACTGTGTAGAAGACAGCTGTTGATCAGGACAGGTGCTTTGGGCAGCTGCCGAAGCATAGTTCAAAAGGGCATCACCCATTTGGCATCTGTATAGCAGCCATCTGGTCAGTTTGGATGTTTATCCAACTTTATGTCATTCTTCACACAGAGAAAATTGTACTTGTGCAGCAGCAGGTGAGCTTAACCCAATGAGTGGTAATTCTCAAGATGGTACGTACAGGCTCCTAGGAGTGCATATATATCTCAGATTATGGCTGGCTGGGTTGCTCGCCTTCTATAAAGTTGCTACTGCAATCTGATAAGACTGTCATTTTATTGCTAGAAAGGCACTGCAACTTAAAAGCAAAAAGGGGGTTTGCTACTTTGACTGGTACCGTTCCTACTGTTTGTTTCAGTTTCTGAAAATTTAATGAATGATAGGGTAGCAAACTGTTATCTCTTGTATATTAACTAAGGTGCATCCCATTAATAACAGGAGTTAATATTATTAAAATGATGTCCCCAGAGACTATTTAAAATAAAAGGAATTGTGGTATCTGCATTGTACACACGTTTAGACGTGTGTGTGTGTGTGAGAGAGAGAGAGAGAGAGAGATCTTTCCAGGATGCAGAAAATCTTGGCTTATTGTAAACAGGATAAACAATTCAACTAGAGACAAATTGTTTGGCAAACCCTGACATTCAGCTGTCATTCTTCTGAGTGTCTTCCTGGAATGGTGGGTCTCTCATGTAGGGAACTGGAACTGATAAGGTCTTAACAGAAGCAGCATGCAAGGGAGTGGACACAAGATGGAGAGTGCTTGTTTCTTGCTTTTAGCGCTCAGAAAACTCTATTTTTGTTCACAATGGGACTGCAAACCCAGAGGAAATCAAGCTGCAAGAAGGATCATCTGGAAGTACACCACTTGGACTCTCTTTTTCTGAAACAGCTGCTTTACATCTATAGCTGCGGGCAAGGTAGTGGGTGCATGCTTTATTTATTCAAATATTTCTATCCCATCTTGTATCACATATAAATTACATAAAAGGGATGACTAACCTGTGGGCCAGATTCAGCCCAGCAAGATTCAGGAAGTGGCCCACCAGCCCCCACAGCTAGATCTCCTGATCTCAGCAGTGAGATTGGAAGATAGTTTTCTCGATTCTTTGGATTTTGCATTCTGCACCCTACCTACCCTAAAGCTGAGAGGGGGCAGTTCTGGAAATGCTGCTTTTTTACCTTTCACATATCTTTCTGTGAAGTGTAAAAGATTGGGCTACCACCCCTCTGTTCAGAATTATGATTGGAAAGGTTGGAAATGTCGCCGTTTGCTCTCCAAAGGTTGTCTTCCCCACTCCCACTCCCAAGCTGTGATGGAGAGAAGTGGAAATGCTACCTTTTACTTTTCACAGTAAAATAGTTCCCAATGAAATTTTATATTTCATGTTCCATTAAAACTGAATATGACACTACAGTATCTGTCAGATTCACAAATACAGATGTACTCCCTTCATGGGAGATTTCACATTGCCTAGTTATCTGAGCAATGTAGGTTAGCCTAAATTCTGGGAGTGTGAAGAGTCTCCTTAAGAGCCAGGCTGCAAGAACTACAAAAAAGGAGCACTAGCCAAACTGTTTAAAACTAGTTTCCTTTTGTATTTGAACAACATACAAGAATATGAACACTCAATAATAACAATCAGCCCTTCAAGGAATGAGCACCTTCCAATTTTGAGTGGGCATTTCACAAGCAAATTGAACACACACACACCAGCACTGAGAACTTCAGCTTTTTCTCATTCAGTTCATAACTAATTTCACTCTGGATCTCATATGCTTTTTCCAGAAATCTACTGGAGAAAGGAGTTAATATTTTGGCATTATTCATGATAAAGGACAAACAATACAGGCAGTTTGATCAACTATTTTTGAATAAAATGGCTTTGGTACATACCCTGTCTGTTTTCCCTTCAGTTTGAGTACTGGTGCGGCTGTGTGCATCATGGTCGTCTTCAAGATCAGAGACATCTTCAAGTTCTTCTGGGGTCTGTGAAAAGAACATGACATTATTCTTATGCATGAACTTTAAAGATGTCATACACCTGTGACAGAATACCAGACTTCCGCCTGGACCTAATGTAGGTGGCATATTGTCCCCACTTCCACAATGAATGCATATGTAAGAAAAATGTGAAGAATTCAAGAACGTGAGCTATTATTTCAGCCTATTTAACTAGTTTTTGTGTAGCATATAATTATATAACTGAATGTGTACAGACAGACTGTTTTACCCCCATATTTTGCACTGATCATTCCTGATTTTCTTGGATGTTATATTTGTGACAGTTATGCATGGCTTACACAATGCAGTGTTGCTATCACAGAATGGTTTGTGATTATTAAAAACAAATGTTACAAAGTAACCTATGAGACTTGTAAAAGGAGGCTGATTTCACCACATTATCCTAATAATTCGTTAGGATACATATTAGAGTTACGTGTGTGCAAATGATCTCTCGCAATTCTCCAGAGAAATTGGGACCATGTCATCAGCTGGAGGTCAGGTGACCAGTGCTGCCTAATCATGTTGTCCACTTCTGTTTAATAGCTGACTAACACTTCAGCAATCTGCTCTCTTCTCTGCTATATCTCTGTACCAAAAGCACACAGCCTCATCTGCCACTAAGGCGTGTGTGCTGCTGTTGTTGTTTAGACATCTGAGCAGCTGAAAGTGTCCATTAGCATTCCATAAATCTTTAGTTGTTGAGGTTAGGCCTCAACTGAAGTTAGACCGCTTACAACCAATAAAAATTGGCAATGAAAAACTCTGCTGGCATTTGCCACTTTCTTTCACCTGTCCCACCCATTGCTCTAATTTTGGGGTAAATTTTGCAAAAACATGGGGTGGTATTCAACTTTTACTCAGAATAAACCAAATGAAATTGCTAGACCTCACTTAGTCATTTTCATTAATGTCATTTGGTCTACTCTTAAGTAAAAATTTGTTGAATACCACCCATAGTTCATCAGCTAGACACTTTGATTTAATCTGATACCTCATTTGTCTCTGTCAGACCATAGCAAGTGTTCCAAAGCCTGACTTTGCAAACACATATTTTAGTTATGCTCCTTATTGCTTCATATTAATTGCATGTTATTTGATATAGTCAGTTAAGTGACCCAACTCTTTTTTTCCTGGGATTAAAAGACACTTGCATTTTCCAAGAAAGCTCCCTACATTTTCAAGTTAGAATTCAAATGCCAGACCTGTATGATGAGAACGTCTGTGTAGGTCTGCCTCTAATCATTTATTTATCCGCACATTTTGAGTTGTGCATTACCAAACACTCACCCCTATTTGCATAGAAACAGACTGCATTTATTCAAATTGCTTTTAAAGATGAATATAACTTTATATTGAAAGAGTGATTGCTCATAAAGATTGTATGTGCTGAATTCTGAGCTAACAAGGAATTGGGTTTGACTACAATTGCCCTGTGTTTCTCCTGTTCTTAGTTTGATTTATGAATACCAAAAGACAAAACAGTACAACTCAGAGCTTTCCAAACTTTTCATGTTGGTGAGACACATTTTAGACGTGCATCATTTCGCAACACAGTAACTCAGTTTTACTAGCAAACCAGAGGTTAAACTAGCCCCTTTCCTGCCCCGGGAAGAGCACGGGGAGCATTTCCATGACACACCTACACACTACCGTGTCACAACACACAGTTTGGAAAGCTCTAGTATAGCTTGTGCTGGCTATACTAGAAGTAAAACTGGAAGTAAAACTGGTTTCTAGAACAACCAAGTCTAGCAAGAACTTGTTTGCGCAAACATCTCTCATAGCTTGTTTGAAACATGCAGAATGGAACACTTTCTAGTAGTTTATGCATTGTTTAGAAAAATATGCCCAGGTGACCCAAATGCTAAAATAAGTTAGTGCTGAGGTGGTGATTCTCATGTTTGGAAACCACCACAAGACTTAAAAAAATTACCACCACCAAAGGCTTTTTATTCCAAGACAGAGAATCCTGGATGGCCTCACTACACCGAAAAATTTATAAGCTTTTGTGTGACATCTACAGAAATTCTGACCACAACAAGCTCTAATGACAAATTAGAACTAATGGTTGAACTAATTAAATTCTAGATGAAATAGTTTTATTACAGACATATACACACTTGCTTTCATTTGTCATTTTTCACTCCTGTCACCTAATTTTTGTATAGTGCAGCTGGCGCTACTGAGAGCTATAGCTCAGAACATCTGGCGGACACCAGGTTAGGGAAGGATGTCCTATGCTGACAGGCAGTGGCTCTTCAGAGTCCCATTTAGAGAGCTTTCTCAGCCCCTAGGACCTTTTTCCTGGAAAGAATATGCATTGCCCTTTACCTAATTTAGTATTCTGCAGTAATTCACAAAATTGAAAATGCTCATGAAATTGTGAATGACGCATTGATTATACAACATCCCTGATCCCTGTACTTTGAGAGTCTCTCTCCTATCAAACTGTTCAAAATCCTTCTCTTTGTGGGTACTTTTCAAGTTCTGTAGCAGAATATATATGAATGATGTGGCCTTGTAATTAGTAGTACCATGACTCTGTCTAGCCCAATACCGCTTACTCTCCAAGACCACAATAATTTCCATCCCCACTACCCAAGATCATTTTAATTTACATAATGAGAATGCAGCCAGATTATACGAAAGGCCCATCTAGATCACCATCCTATTTCCACAGTGGTCAAACATACATGCCCAGTAAACCAACAGACAGTGCTGGAAAGGCAACCACCCTCCCCTGTTGTTGCTCCCAGGCAATGGCATCCTGACTCTGAATATGCACATAAGGCCAGTGCAGGGCACTTTACTGCATGAAGTGAAGGACAGAGTGCTGTCTCCTAGGGGTCAGCCCTGCTTAGATAAGGAGCAAGAGGTGCAGGACTCTCCAGCAGATCTCCATACTGCCAGTAACACAGAAGAGTCATGGGACTGGGACATCTCTGCCCCAGGACTGGAGTGCCTACACCAAATGCTTCAGTTCTTGGCCAGCACTTGCATCTCTCAGACACACAGCTGCTTCCCAACTCCTGCAGTCATAGGAACAGAGGAGATGACAAGGCAGGTAGAAACTACAGAGCCACCACTGAAGTTCCTGGCTAGCTGCATATGGGGCAGCTTGGGAGGAGAGAAGGTAAGTACATGCAAACACCTGCTCAGATCAGGGCCTAACTGAGAGCAGGAATGGAGGGAGCCTCCAGTTCCTATACAAGGTCCAAAGTTAAGATGCTTCATTACTGAAGCAATGACTCTTATTCAAACTCCACCCTTCCTGACCTGTGGAAATGGACACATACCCTGCCTCACAAGTGAACAGAAGCCAATCAGCCTGGCAGTTGAGAATTACTTCAATCAGGAGCAGCCAACTGAGCAGTGCAGGCATGGCTGTGCTGCTGATCTTGCTTCCCAATGGCATGCATTGCTGTTTGTTACTTAAAGGGGGTGGGCTATGGCAATGGGGGAATCAACATGGTGCAGCTGTAGCCAAGATTGTGTTGGATTCATTCTGCCATTAACTCCACCATATCTGAGGGCAGTAGGCTACCTTAGTAATAGCAGGAGAAGCTACAGGCCCAGTCCTGCAACACAGCTACTCCCTCCTCCAGAGCATCTGCCACCTGAAGTGTCTCCTGAACTCTGCCCAATGGTAGGGCTGGCTCTGATGCCTAAAGATTCATGCCTAACCCTGAGCACACATACTTTTAAAACATATAACTGTCCATAGAGGAAAGCTATCATCTACTTTGGGCACTACACAACAGCAGCTGGTTGGCTACTGTTGAAAACGGAGTCCTAGCCTAGATGGAACTTTGCCTTGGTTCAGAAAGAGAATAAAAGACTACATTCTTAAACCACCCTGGTAAATATGAGCTTACAATATGATTGGGCAGGCTGCTCAGAAAATAAAATCCTTAAATTCTTAAAAGATAGCTTCATTATAAGTGTATTTGTTTTTTATTATTACATGCAGCAAACCCCAGATTTTACTGTTCCACAGTATACATTCTTTTTTACCTAATCAGAAGACAATCACTGTAGGCAAATATGCAAAGTCACTTAGCTGCAGTGATGGGTACAAGCTTAGACAGCTTTTTCACTTTTTAAAAAACAATCCTCAGACCCTAGAGCAAAGCACAACTGGTGTTACATCTGCAATGCAGAGAGGACTTGACTTATCTAAATCTATAATTTTGGTCTATAGCATGTAAACCGCATGTAAGAAATTGCAGGATTCAATCCTGTCTTGATTCAGTTCTATATTGAGAGGATGTTGTTGAAACAATACGACAGACAAAAGTAATGGAGGGGGTCCACTGTGGGAGATGCAGTCACTCATGCATTTTTTCGGTCTATTATGTAATCGTAAACATACACAAAGGTTGCCTCCAGACTCCAGTATTCTGTGGGAAGGATTGAAGTGCATACTAGAATTTTAGGTTTGTGCAACTCAACTGATTTAAACAACTCTATTGTCCTAGCCCAGCCCCCCCCCCCGGACCTTTTGCCGTTAGATCTGAAATGTGTGGAATGATTAATTAACACGGAAATGTGTAAACACCACATAAGCAAATCAGGATGTTCATTGTTGTATAACTTTCCTGCAAAAAAACCAGAATGAATGATAAAAAAGACTGGATATAGTCTAACCTGCATGAACACTGTGCAAGCAAATCAGGATGAATAGACCAAAACGGACAAGTACAATTTCAGCTCATGGCAACTACAGTTTTTAGTCAACCTATGCAGAGTTTTACTGACGTTGCTGTGGACTGGATCAGTTGAGTAAGTGGTTGATGCCACATGCTGAACTCAGTACAGATTGACTTCTGACTAGATTTACACTGCTATCACTAGTTAGTTTAGTCAAGATGATTTTTATATATATACTGCAGATAGTACCTTTTCCCAAGTCTGCTCCAAGCCCTATGCTCTGCTGACTTTGCCTTCCAAATGAATGGCATGGATGATCTCACCTAATTCTG